GATCCACAATCTAATTACTTCTACTTGGCATAAGGAAGAATTGCATGATCAGTGAAAGGAGCCTATTATTGTTACCAGTTCACAAGAAGGGTGATAAAACTGACTGTAGTAATTATCGGGGGATATCACCGCTATCAACTTCATATAAAACTTTGTCCAATATTCTTCTATATAGATGAAATTATTGGGGATCATCAGTGTGGGTTTCGACATAACAGATGAACTAGAGATCAGATCTTTTGCATTCGTCAGATATTGGAGAAACAATGGAGGTACGATGAGACAGTACATCAGCTATTCATAGACTTCAAGAAAGCCTACGATTCAGTTAGGAGGAAAGTATTGTACAGTATTGTGATAGAGTTTGGTATACCCATGAAACTAGTTAGGTTGATTAAAATGTGTTTAAACGAAACGTATAGTAAAGTCCGTGTAGGTAAACATCTGTCTGATAAATTTCCTATCCAGAATGGTCTAAAACAAGGAGATGCTTTATCGCCATTCCTTTTCAACTTTGCCTTAGAATATGCAATTAGGAAGGTCCAGGGAAACCAGGTGGGACTGAAATTAAAGGGCACACATCAGCTGTTGGTCTATGCCGATGTTGTCAATCTATTTGGGTGACAATGTAGATACCATATAGAAAAACACAGAAACTTTAACTGACGCAAGTAAAGAGGTTGGTCTAGAAGTAAAGACAGAGAAAACTAAGTATATGTTACGGTCTCGTCACCAAAATGCAGGGCAAAATCATGACATAAAGATAGGAAACAGATGTTCTGAAAATGTGGCACAGTCCAGATATTTGGGAACAATAACAGATCGAAACATGATTCAGGAGGAAATTAAGAGGCGACTGAACTTGGGTAATGCTTGCTACCATTCAGTCCAGAACCTTTTGTCTTCTCATCTGTTGTCCAAAAACATAAAAATTAGAATATACAAAACTATAATTTTGCCTGTGGTTCTGTATGGGTGTGAAACTTGGTCTCTGACATTAAGGGAGGAACACAGACTGAGGGTGTTTGAGAACAGGGTGTTGCGGCGACTATTTTTACCTAAGAGAGATGGAGTGACAGGAGGTTGGAGAAAACTGCATAATGAGGAGCTTCATAACTTGTACTCTTCTCCAAGTATAATTAGAATGATCAAGTCGAAGAGAATGCGGTGGGCAGGTCATGTAGCACGAATGGGGGAGACGAGGAATGCGTATAGGGTATTGGTGGGAAAGCCAGAAGGAAAGAGACCACAGGGAAGACCAAGGCGTAGGTGGGTGGATAATATTAGAATGGATCTTAGAGATATAGGATGGGATGGTATGGATTGGATAGATCTGGCTCAGGATAGGGACCAGTGGAGGGCTCTTGTGAACACAGTAATCAACCTTCGGGTTCCATAAAATGCTGGGGAATTCTTGAGTAGCTGCAGAATTGGCGGCTCCTCCGGAAGGGCTCAGCTCCATAAGTAAGTAAATAACCATATAATTTGTACTAGCCTCCGCGGGAAGTCTAACTATATCTGCAGGCACATCGCACTGTGTTGCAAACAGCCACCCACGTCTAAACATGCGTTACAAACTCTGAGTCATGTGGACAAGCGTGTGGCACACAATGATGCTATCTATATTCAATACGTGTAAACCTCTCCTATATCGCTGGGCACATTAAGAAGGAACGCGCAGCAGTTCAGTCTTCCTCATAACGTCTGGGAAGGCATGAAAATAGTGTTTTTTACTCTCAACGCTTATTTCGAAAAGATGTCACCAGTATTTATACCAACAGTTAGTTGACCGCTGAAGACGCTTCCTGATATTCAAAACTCGTAGTTGCTTGAGGCACTATGCTACAAGCCGGAAGGTCGCGGGCTCGATTCCAGATAAGGTTACTGTATATTTCAATTGACTTAATCCTTCAGCCGCACTATGGCCCTGGGGTATACTCAGCCACTAACAGAAACGAGTACCAGGGATCTTCATGGGACGTAAAGGGCAGCTGGCACGTAAGACTGACAAACTTACCTCCATCTGTGAGCCGATTGTCTAGAAAATGTGAGAGCCTCGATGTCTCACAACCCTTTGGGCCTCCACGGCCTGTTACAGGGAGAGCTTTATTTTTTTGCCTTTACCAGACTGCTTATCGAAAGAAATCATCGAATGTCAGTTGTGCTGTAATGTAACAACTACATTTACGAGTACTTATTCACACAACAGAGTTTCCACGTGCTCGTAACGACATTCAAAGGTACCCCAACCTAGTTTATCCAAATACAAATAAGTTCCATTTCATTTTTAATCGGCACAAACAACAATAAACGCGCTAGGACGTCTGACAGTAGAATCACACTGAATCCATGAGAGAAGTTACAGAGAAGGTTAAAAGGTAAAGCTATCGCTATTAACAGGCCGTGGAGGCCCATAGGGTTGTGAGATGTCGAGGCTCCCACATTTTCTAGACAACCAGCTCACAGGCGACGGTGAGGTTAGCCTTACACGCCGGCTGAACGCCCTTTACCACAGAAAGATTCCTGGTACTCATTTCTGTTAAGAGGCTGTGCCAACTCTAGGGCCACAGTGCAGCTGGAAGGATTAGGTCGAATAAAAAATCCGATGACCTCATCGCGAATGGAACCCGCGACCTTCCGGCTTGTAGCATAGTGCCCCAATCTGAGAGATGTTTGGAAGACAATTTGGACCTACGGGCAAATCATCTCATTGTTTGCAAAATAATATGACAGACAGGAACTCTCTAGCCAACGTGTATATGAACCCAACAGTCATCTTTACGTCTTCCAATCCTATATGGCCGATGTTCCTCATTTTCATCTGTTTGTCTGACGGACCTGCGAAAAAAGAGAGTGGTTTATATTTTACATGAGAAAAAATTGAGCAATCTGTGAGAAATGTCGTATCCGACTCACGCTGATCTCCCGGTTTCCTCGATGATTAAACGCCCTCAATTGCTGAAGGGTACGCGCCCTACGCTCTGAAACACTCTGAAATGTGTGTAGGTTACTGGTCGTTAGGGCCGCGCCATAGCTCAAATGGTTAGTCGTTGGCTTCCCACCGCGGCGGCCCGGGTTCGAGCCCAGGTGTGTTCATGTGGACTTGTGGTGTGGGCAGGTTTTCTCAGAGCACTTCGGTTTTTCCCTGCCAATCTTCATTCCACCAATTTCTCCACAATCATCTCCTCTCATCCGGGGCTGATACTGTTCAATAAGCCAGTAGTAGCCGCAGTACCGAGTGGACTCAGTCTCACCCCACTAATAATAAAAATAATACTGGCTGTTAGCGGCTTGCCCTCCCTCTGGAACGGGCAGCTGATTTTGGGCCGCTATGTGAAGTTGGGAACCACTACAGTTTAACTCTAAAAAAGTTTCCGTTTCGAAATCGTGAGAACTGCTGTTTCACTTGGTTTATGAAGTAAACTCGAATCCAAAAATCTGGTATTTTTTAAAGAATATTTGTCCTTGAAGAATAAAGAGTAGACTGATATCTTCTTGGATGTGACGCCTTATAGTCTGATAGAAGTTTATCAGAGTAAATAGCGTAACAGCTCAATATTCTCCATAGTCACTGAGAACCTCTCATCTTGCAGACTTCTTTTTGTTAAGAAGAAAGCAGTCTTCTGGGATGTGGCGCCGTGTAGATATTATTGTTAATCTCTCAAGTTTCAGTGGTCCATATCATAACGAAACACAGATTATGGGACAGATATACCCGTGGATCCGGAAAGTGCACGGAGATACCCGCAAAGTACCCGGCTCAAATTCTGCAAGTATCCAGCTCATTCCCGACCGAACTCCGCTTATCCTGAGACAGTTCATAGATGTCCCCAGTCCTACCACCTATACATGTCAAGACATCCTATACAGACGCTATATACATATCTCCAGCAGACAACGCAATTCCGTTAAAACAACCGTACAACCAAAAAACAAACATCAACAACCTCCATACCCATCACAACATGAATGCTGCGTCAATTTTTTTAAGTGGGACACGGAAATGTATGAGGAAATAAGCGAAACACGGACGAAATATACGATTTCCGCAGCTTTGTAAATATATATTGTGGTCTTCTGGTCAGTATAGTGTAGTCTGATGGTCACCTTGTTTCACATGTACTTTCTACTTCCATCTTCGGGGCAGAAGATTGAGAAACCAGTTTCCTCCAATAAGCAGATAAGCAGCTACAACGATATCTTAACCCATACGACCACAGTCCAGTGAGAAACATGGAAGTTCCAGGTAGCATTCACAGACGAATACTTTACTACTACAGAGGCTTGGCCTACCAATCACGAGCGTAAATCATGAAAATGGTAATTCAAGCTTATATCATATACAGACCTCACTTCTAACAAGCGCCGAGGTCATGAACCCGTGGATCTGTACATCTACTCTCCCATACGTCTTTATTACCTATAATCCAGTAAAAAATGTATTTCAGCTCGTGGGTTTGGTGTTCTCGAATGTTAGGTGGTCACACAACGGAATCTTAGCATAGCAAGGGCTCTTTTACTGCTTGCAACTGTAAATATGCTGCCGGTTGTTGTCGTCATCATCATAAGCACAAATACGTTCGTATCATGGCTGCGCTGTCTACAGAACATGCTACGAACTTCATACTGCCATCGTGTGCTGTTTTACATTCTACAAATAAAAACTGTATGAACTAATGTCGGGTACTTTTCTGAAGATTAGCATTTCTGAGTCCAAAAAGCTGCGCCGGTGCCACTCCCACCTCACAAGTTCGTGCGTCTGTCATATTATTACAAACTGCAGTAAGTAAAACGCTGAAGGTAGCATCCAGTGGAATGATGTTCATACCAAATTTCGTGACGCGGGCTAAAATGAAACGAGGAAAGCGATTGCCTATGTTTACACTCTGAAACGCATTAAATCTGTACATGCTGTAACCCCACGACAAAGCACTTCGCCATCAGTGCTGGCAACGTCATGCTGGAATGCAACTGCATTTGGCTTAAGTGGCTGAACGTACCGTTACTGTCCTGATGCTGTAGCAGAGCTTGTTGGAGCTGAGTGGGTTGCTGGAATCCGTAAGCGGGAAGCCAATGATTTGTCCCTGCAATATCCATCCTCTCCGACCACTCCGAATACGCCATCTCTTCCATCACTGCACACCTCTACACACATATGAGAAACACCACCATAACATTGAGACGATCACTCACTCACATCTACAACGTAATTTCCTCTCTCGAGCCACAGTAACACTCAGCCAATTCATTTGTACACACTTCTAACCGACCGCCAGCATATCCCCTACACGAACACGCTCCTAACAGCGACATTACAAAGCTCTACGGCAGAGGATGACACGGGCACCAATTACAGCGCTCTATCAACCCACGTGACTTAGTGGCGTACAATGGTACGCTGCTGCTGAAGTTTCCGGTTCTCAAAGACAATGTTACCTGAGGGTCGGTCATAGCTTCTGTTTCTCTTCCGGCTCGTTTTCAAGCAGGGAGACACACATCGCTTATTTTTGTTCTTCACTATAATTTACCCGCCGATCAAATTGGCCGCGCATGAAATATTTTCGCCTGCTAAAACACTGGGATAGTGGTTCAGTCACTCATTCACCTCCAACTTTAATGCACCTTACAAAGTATTCACAATATATCTTTAATTTAAAATATCTCAGATACCACAAGCAGAAGACGCCAAATACCTTGGTATACACCTGGATAAACGACTGGCATGGCAAAAACACATTCACACCAAAAGAAAACAACTCGGAATAAAATTCCGACAGATGTATTGGATGCTGGGAAGGCAGTCGGAGCTATCGACAGAAAACAAGATCTTACTGTACAAAACCATGCTCAAACCGATATGGACGTACGGGATACCATTATGGGGATCAGCCAGTAACTCAAACATAGAAATTCTCCAACGATTTCAAAGCAAAGTATTACGAATAATAGTTAACGCACCGTGGTATGTGCCGAACACGGTACTACACAAGGACCTAGATGTACCAACAGTACGAGAGGAAATAAAAAAAACAGCAAAAAGTATAAAATCAGACTCCAGGCCCATCCGAACGACTTGGCACAAAAACTGCTCGACGACGAAGGAGAAATCAGGAGGTTAAACAGATTTAAACCATCAGATTTACCCACCAGATTTGAATAATTCAACACTTAACTGCATATCACTAAGCAGTTAAAATAAGTATTGAGCATGTTCATTGGAACATGCTCACCACGACAAGTTCTCTTTCCTTTTCTATATGTAAACCACAAAATGTACTTATTATCCACACTTAATGGATAGATTGTATAATTATTGGAGTTAAAAACAAAAAATTAAAATAACATTATAATCACATCATTTGCTACATGTTTCGGCCCTACTTGGCCATCTTCAGGCAAATGTTCACTTTCTGAAATCGTTGCACTGCATGCTTTTGCATATCGTTGTTCACATCAGCATGTGTTTGTCAGAGAGCTAAACTCTCTCTGCCTTCCCCGTTATTTTCCTTATGCGGCGTCCATGTTTGTGCCCCCTTCGTATACATGTTCTCACTAGTATGGCGTATGTCTCTTGATAGCGGGTTCGAATCCAACTCAAGACATGGATATTTCTTCTGTGGTTGTTGTCCTGTGTAAGTAGCGGCCTTGAGACAGGGCTGATCACCCGTCCAAGGAGTCCTGCCAACTGTCTGTAAGAGCCGTAGCTTCAGATTAATTGTGACAAGAGCAGGCCAGAGGGCCTAATACGAAAGACAGAAGCATGGTTTACCCTCAAATCTCAACCATTAGACATATGTATGCCGTGTCCGTCTTGTAGTGCACTCAATTTCACAACAGGTTTCGGCAACATAGTGCCATCATCAGGTGCTCCATTTACGTTAATCTATTGCATTACTTGCCATTGTGTCATTGTAAAATTATTTTAAAAATATTTTAAAATATTCGTTAATTATAATAAATTTTATACACTAAAATCTTGTTAAGCTATTCGAAAACACAAACGAGTAAATGTAACAAAAGTGGCATATATAGAATGAAATGCCTAGATTGCCCCATGGAACATATAGGACAAACAGGGAGGAAATTTAATACCAGATATAAAGAACACATACATGACATAAGACACAATAACAGCAACACAGGATACTCAGAACACATATTAAACACAGGACATGCATACGGTACAATAGAAAACACTATGGATATCATAGCAACGAATAAGAAAGGACAGTATTTAAACACATTAGAAAACTATCATATATACAGAACAACAAAGAAAAACACGCATATGAACAATATAAATAAGGAAATACAACCCAATATTTCATGAACTACACACAATTTACACAGAACAACATAACACAACCCCACCACATTTACCCCCACAACATCATAACTCAATCAATACGAAGACACACACACATCCAACATTACAACACCCGCAGCCAAAAAGGGAACACACATCACGAGACACGGTGAGTACTAAACATTATAATACAACACATAACAGATAGAAGCCGAAAGTAATAATAATAAGTACCCTTTTCACGTTGCAGATATACACGGAATATAAGAGGAACGACTCCCATAGTGGAGGAACCATGCGCGGGCTTGAATTGGGACATATAAGATGAATATCTTAAAAAGATTTTAGTGTATAAAAATTTATTATAATTGACGAATATTTTTAAATACTTTTTAAATAATTTTACAAAGACATAATGGCAAGCAATGCAATAGATTAACGTAAATGGAGCACCTGATAATGGCACTATGTTGCCGAAACGTGTTGTGAAATAACAGGTGAAACTGAGTGCACTACAAGACGGACACGGCAAAAATATCATCGACGAAAATCAGTGCAACAGGACGCTAAAATACAACATTAGATATACTTTACATAATATTATGCTGCAGCTGTTAACCCTGTTCTACTTTTCAGTTTTGTAAATGCTTCGGAATATTCTACGTTATTTTAGGTTACCTACAAAAATGAAAAACAGGACAACGTAATAGCAGGAAAGTAGGTTCCTTCAATCATATATCTTACACACCTGACAATGGCTAGTTATCTCGAAACAAGCAAAAAAAGGTAAGGACATTCCTGTAACAGATCGTGAAGGCCCATGGGGTTGTGAAATGTCGACGCTCCCACATTTTCTAGACAATGGGCTCACAGATGATAGCTCTTTACCCCCAGGAAGATCCCTCCTACACATTTCTGTTAGAGGCTCAGTCGACCGCAGGGACATAGTGCGACTGGAAGGATTACGTAAATTTTCATAGAGGGCATCCTGTTGCGTGTCAGATATATGGCAAGGTAAGGTTTTCGTCAACACAAGAAACGTGATTTTACAATCAATTAATACTAAGACTGGATTTTATTTTTTTTTCTACCGCTACAAGATTAGGTCCTCATGAAACCATCATCAGGCAGTATTACGATCGTACAACTGAAGTCATTTGAACTTTCTAACTCCGTTAGAAAGAGCTAGCAAGCTAGCTAACTAGCTCTTTCTAACGGACCCAACAGAATAGGTGTTTTCCTTCACCTGAGGACGGAAAAAGATCCAGTTTCCGAAACGTCGTGTTTTTATTAGTTATATTAAAAACCAGGACGATGGATAAAGTCCAAAAACCCATTATATCAGTGTGTTACACAACATCGTCAGAATCCTATAGTAACTACAAGCATGGTGTGTTGACAGAAACCTTACCTTGTCATAGAATGATCGGCAGGGCATGTAACACGAACGAGGGAGGAGTGAATATATGATATTGGTGGGAAAACCAGAAGGAGGTGGGTGGACAATCTTAAAACGGATCTCAGAGAGATAGGATGGGCTGGATTGGGGCCAGTGGATAGCTTTTGTGACCACGACAATGAACCATTGTGTTCCATAAAACTCTGGCAAGTTCTTGAATAGCTCCACAAGTGCCAGATTCTCAAGAAGGGCTCAGCTATATGCAGTTACTATGTCAGTTTCAAGATGCGATGAGTGGACCTCCTTAAGCAATGGATGGGTAAACTGAACTACTTGAGGAGCCACACGAGCCCCATATACCGTGTGGTGCAAAAATTACTTCTCTTAATGTTAAACAGCTGTCAGAATCTGAAGAAGGCTAAAATTTGGTAGTGCCCAAATAGCAGCACGCGACCCCCAGTTACATGTACCCCCCCCCCACTGTTCTTCCGTTCCTCAAAATACATTGCTTTCATCTTCCTTTAAAAAAGTGACCAGTTGTAAAAAAGCTTTTCGAAGATCATTTCAGGGAAGACATTTGTGTAGTAGTCATGCACATCGCCCGTCCAGTGGTACTACCTCGGGGAACATGTTCTTTTGACAGGTGGCTGAAGCTTCGAACAGCCACACTTCGGAGATGCTGCGCCTTTTGCCAGAGGAAGTAGGGGTTATGTTATCCCGACGAGATCCACAAATGCGTGATACTGCTTGGGGCTGGTTTCTGTGTTGCCTTTGTACAGTTAGCAAGATTAGGCCATCAAGAGGGCCTGTGTTCGATGTCGATCTCAGACTTTAAGGGTCACAAGTTTTGTGTTCACCTCTGTGTCCTGGTTTCGACAATGGACAGAGCAGTGTCATTTGCCGTATATAAGAGTGAATAATTCCAACATATGTTTACACACTGCCAACCCCCCGCCCTGCTATTCACATAACAACACAAATGGCAAAATGAATGCCGATCAAAGTGGCCGCGAGGTTAAGGCATGAACTGTCTTCGCCCGCTCAAACATTGGGATCGTGGGTTCAAATCCCACTTGAGGCATTGATGTCTGAGTTTATTCTGTGTTTGTGTTGTTCTCTGTGTAGGTAGCGGCCTTACGACAGGCTGATCCCCGTCCAAGGTGTCCTACAGACTGTGTAAAAGATTAAAGGTACAAAAAAGGGCCGTAGAGCCATATGAATAAATAGATGGGAAAAATATTATTATATTTCGCATTAGTAACAATGTAAACTTTCGCGGCGGTGCTATGATGATTACGGTCTTCTGGTTTGTAATGTTGACCAGTTTGAGGGTATCCCGACGTTTCGGAAGAACATATCCTATCCATCTTTACAGCTGAAGAGTAAGCCAGGCAAGAAACCAGCAGAAGTTGCCGGTATTAATTTAGAAAGGAAGTATGGATAGTAAGTCAAATATTACTTTTCGTTAATCATCCAACAGCTCTATAAGGCAGTAATAAGGAGACTACCAAAAGAATACAAAGACCGAACTCAGTACATACTGATGTCCCACCAAGGAAGGTGGGAGGGAAGGGGGAACATGACAAAGCTAGAAAATAAATCCTCTGGAAATGGCTCACATC